TTGGATGGTTGGTTTCCTGTGTAACAGACCGAAACGGCTCTGGGTGTTAGGCCATAAATTTGTCAAAAAAGAGTTGTCAGCCAGTGCCACAGTGGTCGGCTTAAATTCGCAGGAAACGTTCGTGTGTTCGAATGTGATTTGGCATCCAATACTCGCGTTTGTAAGCATAAAACTCACGGCGCCATCTTAGCAAATTGGCCGAGCTTTGCTCTCCTTAAGCCTCATTGTCTTGAAGCTTTGTCATGGCAACCGAGACATTGCTGAATGACTTGCTTACCGACGCCGAGATCACACTGACTGGTATGTCACACTTGCACAACGACCGACCCACTAGGAGAGGTGGTGTACCTCGTCACTACCTTTCCGATTTACACCTCAACAGCATGAACGATCAAAGGGTTCAAACACTAGACTGGTTTTAGTGCCGCCTACACCTACGACAGGGCGATATATGTTTAGTGGCCAATGTATACCGACAACCACGGTTCAATTTATACATGGGTCAACTTCTAGTCGCCAATATGAAGTGCCTGCTGGTACATTCTCATTGTAAGAAACTTCAAGCTCCACGGCCTAGAAGCCCGGCCACTCGCGGTGAACAGTTCAATGCGAAACTATGAGAAATAATTCCTGGTTCACTACTGTACAACTATGTCATCTTTCCAACACGTTTCAGGACAAACAACAAACCGGCCACTTTGGACCTCGTGTTTACCAACGAGGAACCCATGATCGACTTGCGCAGCACCGATCATGTGACACTAGCGTTCCGCTAAGTGTGCTACGCAGAGTATCTTAGTGAAAGTAATGAGGAATCTCACGTCGTAACCAATTATGACAAGTTTTGCGACAGTGTGTAGCAAGAACGAAGCGGCAAGAAAGCGCAGTCGTTACTACACGTGACCACGATTAACCAAGCGGTCACGCACGCGCGTCTATATGGGTCAAGTTGCCGTCTCACAATGCAACATACGTTAGCAATTACTACTGACATCTGTTCGTTTCATCTTGGTGGGTCAAGCTTGCCTCTTTACCCGGTATTTTCGCTTCAGTAAATCTCATTCTGAGGCTCTTGATTCTGCTCGATCGCATTTGCGTTACGCGGCTTGGAGTTACTCCAAGGTATATCGACAAAGACGTTTCCGTCTGATTTATTAGCCTTTCAACAAATACATCTCTGTTCTCCTCGACTCAGGCCTGTTACCCTTTCGTCACTCGAGATCCGCTCTCCGCTTGTAGTGTAGGGCTTGCGTTGCACCACTTGATCTCGTCCATGCCGCCCGTGTTTATTTCTGTCTTCGCTCGTTCTTGTAAATTTCCAATCTTCCACGCGATTGTTACCTACCGTGTTACTACCGTTGGTGCGACAAACTGATCTTTCCTAGCCAAAAAGTCTACTGAGGTGGCCTGTAGGGAATTTGGCAACTGACTCAACAAGCTAGTGGGAAACACACTAGAAACAAAGTCCTACTAATCGAAATGGATGAAGTCCTTCCTAAGTAGCAAGACACGTAGATGCATGGCATCGGGGGATTCGGGTTGCATTGCTTACATAGCCTCTGCGAGCGAGGACACGTGGAATGTTCATGTAACGCAGAGGAACCAGTGCGTCAAGCTCGTCCGGAAGGATAAGGAAAATCACCAACAACTCCTTGTGATAAGATTTCGCTCTAACCCTAAGAGGTTTTATGGACACGTGAACAAATTTCGTAGAGCAAAGCGCGGAATCACTGCTCTGCACATAGTATGCGTTCTAGCGCAAACCGTACAAGAAGTGGTCAGTTTTCTTGGACAACATGTTGGCATTATCTTCCAAAGTGTACAATCATGTTACATCGTACCTACGCAGATCATGCCGCCATGTGCCAACAACCACCTATGTTTCACAACCACGACTGATGTCTTTGCACGAGTTCAGTACCCGTGTGCCGACAGTATTCGCCCGAAGGCGCTGAAAGTTGCTGCCATGAATTTAGCTGAACCGCAAGTAATATACTTTTGACGATGTGTTATCGAGGTGCAGGTACGCATGGTGTAGAAGCACAGGAGTGTCACCCCCATCTACCAAAGTCGTAGCTGTGCAGAACCAGAAAATTATCGCCCGATAACACTACTACTGCTGAGTTTCAAGGTCGTGAAGTCCATTGTCGCTGTGACACTCATGGATTACCTGGAAAGTGACGAAATTTTCACGCCGGAACAGCATGGATCCGGCCAGAGTCAGTCCTGTACTGTTAAGCTGTTGATAACTAATGTATGTTGGACACAATCTCTGGTTGCTGGAGTAGGAATACAGGCCGCCTATCTATACTATTTGAATTAATTCGGTCGTCTGTATCACCACTTTCTACTTCACAGGCTTCATAAGTATGGAATCGGCGATCACATTCTGGGCTGGAGAGGCCTGTCTCTTTCAAGCTCATGTAAATATGTGGGATGGCAACACCTTATCCGAAGGAATCGAAGTCCATTAAGGCGTACATCTGGGCTTAGTAGTTGGGCCACGCCTGTTCCTGGTCTTCATAAATGACTTTGCGAGGGTGCTATCTTCAGAGTGTCTACTATTCTCAAATGATCTAAAGAAATGACGTGTTATCAGTAGCGTGGAGGATCTGTGTAAATCATACTCAAATTCTGTCAGAAACATGCTGCAGTCCAACGCCTCTAAGTGAAACGTCCTGAGCATACATTATCAGAATACTGATGACTACAGGCTAAGGCCGCAAATTCTACAACGAGTATCTCGCTAGTGCGATCTCTGCGTGTATGTGCAAGATGACCTTGGTTGCTTGAGGTAGCCGGAAAAGGCATAAATGATGCAAATTAGCACTTTGGTTTCCTCCGTAGGGCGTTCGGATAGTTCGATACTTCAGTCTTTCCGAAAATGTACAGCCCGTCCGGGAATAAGCATGCAGAAGACGCTGTGCAAGCGTTGCAACCTTGGCAAAAGCGCCACTTCACAGCGCTCGATACTGTACAACGCTGGATTACGAAGAGCATCAGAGGTTTTTCCCACCTTCTCTACCATCTCAGATTGAAAACTCAAAAAGTGTACAACGTAGGTTTTCGACATCTACGGAGCGATGTCATAACCAATTACAAAATCCTAAGGAACCCGAACCCCCATCTCATCAAAACTAAACTTAACCAAAACACATCTCCGATAGGTCATCAGTTTATGCAGTGTAGCCGACTGGAATGTCGATGGAATGTTTGCTCACTCTGAGTAGCGCAGTTTTAGAACATCTTCCAAGCGCATTTAATTAATGCCCCAATCTTATCGCCCTTCAGTGAAACGCCTTTACAATACCCAAATACATTTACGCGACCTTATGTGGCTCATGACAATCGGATGATGACATTAGTGCAACAAAAACAGTGGACGGTGTCATACTCCATGTAAACTCCAGCCTACTGCAAACATCTTGGTGAGTCAGGCATTATACATGTTTTATAACGACACTGTTTTGCTAGCCTGTACTTTTCACCCTAACCGTCTTATGACACTCGTCAAGTATTTGTTTTGAAACCAGTTATAAACTACGTCTCCATATGGTTGACGACATCCGATTCCGGAGGTACCTGTCACTGTGGCGTCCATAGGGCAGCCAGAGGATGCCAGCGCCTGTAAGTGACCATGGGCGTTTTGTGATGCAGCACCTACAGCTCCAAATACGCACTCACTTGATCTCTCTCACTTTATACAGGGGGGTGAATAAGTGGGTATACAGTGATAAACACAGGGAAACACGTATATTATTCAGCTTATTTATTATACAAAAGAATGAACGTTGTGTAAACATGTATTAGGATGCCTTAATCCCTCAGTACTCGGATTGCTTGCCATCAGCGTTCACACACTCCTGTAACCGAGAACGAACGTTCATGCACACTCTAAAACAAATGCAGTTATCAGCACCAATTTCCTGACAAGCCTCCAAAATGAACTTATGTATGTCTTCAAAGATGCGAGGCTTGCGTGAAAAAGCCTTATCCTTTACAGGTCCCCCAAAAAAGAAGTCCATAGGAGTTAAATGTTGTGAGCATGGCAGCCAGTTGATGGCTCCACGGCGTCCAATCCATCTTTTGGGAAACCTTAAGTCAAGTAGTACACGTACAATGGGCACAAAATAAGGCTGGTCTTACCTTGCTTAAAATAGAAGACTTTAGCTTGTTATTGTTCAGGTATCCATGCATATAAAAAAAAGAAATGACTAAAAGTATATGCTAATAATTTCACTGATGTTACACGACCGTATGGCTACTTTTCCACCCTCTCTCTCTCTCTCTATATATATATATACATATATATATATATATATATATATATATTCTAGATGATGTACACTTCTTTAGCTTGTTATATTCCGCTGCAATCTAACTACTTAGTGTCTATTGAGTTAGATACAACTGGTGTAGGAAGATTCCGCACTGTCCGTTTGTGATACTCATACCAATGGATTCCGGAGTTCAAAAGAAAGAGTTTAAGTAATCGAAAATTCACACACTGCATATAAGCAAAATTTTATCGGTGCTCGTAGCCTAGGTTGTTCGCTATTGCACACTAAACTTCTCTATTTAGTCGAGGCTAGATCCGCCTCTCAGTAGAACTAATCAGGAAATATTTTTCAGAAGCATAAATATACGAGAGTGAGCCATTTAGCAAGCTAAGTTACAGCACTTGTACTTGACGTCACTTCCTGCGTATGGATGGGGCAATTATCTATTATCCCGGACGTAGTTTCCGGCTGGGCAGTACCGTGTTCCCCACTGCTCTTACGTCCATTTGTTATCGTTGTAGCCTATGTAACAAAGGAGTAGGTTGTTGAGGCACCACGTGAACAACTTACCTCGTCACTTTCCGTTCTCATATCTACTTCTGAGCATCATCGCGGAGTGATGGTTTCAGTACTGCGTACAGTTAATGAACACAGCTTTATGTATCACTTGAAAACAAGTAGGACGGCCAAGAGTAGTTGTGTCAAACAACTAGTACTTACAAGTGACGGTTAACTCCGACGGTAGCAAGGCAAGGTTGTGCGTCTGATTGTTCTGGACGGTACAAGGGTGAGGTGAACCGGATTCTACACTCGACCCGAATCGAGAACAGTGTGGAGGATCATCTGCTAGTGAAAAGGTAAACGAAACTTTAGTGCCGATAGGAAGATTATTGTGCAGTTGTGACAAAATGCATTGACGTCAGCAAGAAAATCCGAATTTTTCACCGGGCAGTCCGTTGATCTCAGGTTTTTCCATCTCGGCTCACATATTTTTTGATTCGCAAAACTGTCAAAATCAGTGCATCGGTTAACCGTCACTGCCATTAAGTACCTTAGTTGACACCTGCCGTGAAACATCGTCAGAAAGTTTCCTACGTTTTGGTTGAGTATCTAATCCCTGGTCTTAATAGAAAAAGTTACTTTCTCACATGCAAAGTAACTTTTCTAAAGTAACTGCTTCACGAGTTAAAACACCGCATTCTCAGCTTTCTCCACAGCCTTGTTGCATTTATGCTGAAAGCACCATGAGTGGCTTGCTGGCTTGCGGTTTGTTATTGCATCATCAGATATGACGGACCAGAGGGAATCTATCGGCCTGTCACTGGCATTTAATTTTTCGGATCTCCCAATAGTTCAACACCGCCCATGCAGGCATTCCATCGAACGAACAGTTGACAAGAGCGACCCAGTGTTTTACTGTGAGGTCTGCCACATAAATTAAGCTGGTCCAATATGCTTCCAACATGGAAATGCTAGACTCCAATAAAACTGACTGACATTGCTAGGATATTGAAGTGGACATCCACTTGAGAAAGCAAAACGACATCATCTAGGCATGGTCCAATTAGACAAGAGACCTAAAAACAATATCCTCCATTTGAAAAGTCTCTGAGAGCAAACAAAGAACCCATTATATGAGCTCGTCACCGAATCCACGGCTTGGCTGTATCAGATGCTGTCTTGTAACACAGAGGTAGCCCTCGAAATCTTCGTCCTGAAGACAAAATCAATCCAGTAGTTTGTTCACATCAGTGATTATCCAATCTGCCACTTCATACAACCAAGTCCAACTTTGGAAAATGATACCCGCTGTGCTATGTGGGACAACAGAACCCGTATAATATGATATGGAGGAATTATGCAGTTAAAAGGCAACACCAAACCAGTGTTGTACCATGGCCTCTATAGCTAAACTCAAATGACAGGCATCAGCATGTCTCACCAGGTGGTCCGATCACACGATGAATATGCTCTGCTGGTAATGACGATGAATGGCAACCCGTTTATTAACGTCACGAGGTCATCGAGACCACTTCTGTTATCCCTGTGGTAACACAGGCCAGGGTTAAGATATGGTCCGATGAGACGACACTCTCTCTATCCAAAGACAATTGTGGTTTTCCAGTCACATAAGCATTGGTAGCGAGCCGTAAATGCTTAGGTAATACGACTAACAAATATGATGAAACTAACTGGCTAACTAAGCAAGTCCATCAATCCCATAGGCAGTTTGCTAGACATGTGTTCAAGTGCTGTTTGGACAAAATCTTGCAGTTGTGTCCTGTGACTTGGAAAGTAACATGAACGGCTAACGCGTGCGTTACGCTCTGCATTAGCCCATCCAGATGGGCCATCACTCAAGCTGCGCCTGCTACAATAGAGTGATGATGTGCAACGGCTGGTCACATGGCGCATTCACAAGGTTGAAAAAACAGACTGGGCAAAGGAATTCCTGGTTAGTTCGACTGCAAAATTAAAAGTAAAAAATTGTACATCCGCATTACCATCCACGTGTTGTGGTCAAAATCAACCACAAGTCAATCTTGGCGTTGAACGGGTTGTAGCCAACAGCTTCAAACAGGTGAGCAGCCGAATTATGTTTGGCTGCTACCAACGGAGTTTGTAGGATGTCTATCAATATGGACCACAAGGCGAGGTTTTCAAAATGGGCTATCATTTCCTGTTCTATTCGTGTAATTACGTAACCCACACTTTCGGTAACTGTGCGTTGTGTTGCTTCACCAAGCCATCTAATAATCAAGGTCATGTTAACCCACGCTCACGATCTTTTGAAATCCCTATGTTTCTACTCCCCTGAAGGCCCCATTTTTCCCTGGTCAAGCCATATAAAATCATAAACTAAGCGAATCTACCAAAAGAAGAACAAATCTACTACAAATCATCGTGCTGGGTGGAGGGTCGCTCTAAGAAAGAAAGCATTTTGGAGCATGAGTATACCAATCATATTTAGCTCAAATATCTGATCACCTATGAGCAAAATGGATGAAAACCACATTCTGCTCCATGGAACACTCGAAGATTTGCGTAATTAAGTTTCAAGAGAACTGGCTGTATGAGGAGGTAGACGACACAGTTGTACAGATCGAGGGATTGATTTGCCATCGTGCCAACCGAAAATGTAGAGACTGCAAAGGTGGAGGAGGATTAACAATATATATTACGGAATATAAACCCGTCCATAAAAAGCCGACAGCATAACTTTGCAACATCACCTTTAGCCAAAGTCGTAAATTCTTGTATTGGCCGACTGCTATGAAATCAGCCAAAGAGAAACGAAATTGTTCCTCTTCATTTTCGACCTTATCACGACCTGATCTCACTTGAGTGAGTTCAAGTGAAACCTGCTCAACTATTGGTCAGTTGTGGTAAGCGTAATGATATACTCGCGTTTAATGGGGCGTGGGGCAGTCGGAATGGACCTCAATTGACCAGAAGTCAATTCATATGAAAAAGATAAGACAGCCGACAACATATATATATATATATATATGGATTTTGCTTGCGAATTTATTTTTTCAAATTCCGTATAGCATTTTTACAAAATTTGTCCAAAAACTATCGGCTTCTATTCGGTAATATGCGGCATTTCTTATACCAATATTCGTGGTGCAAGTCATCAAAATATATTTGTAAGTAATAGGGGGCTTTATTAGGTTTTCGTGTGGATTCGTCGCAGTTAGACACAGGCAGACAGCTACCACACACCCAGGAAGCGCTAGACGAATCCTGTTGGATTCGAACCCACGACCTTACTAATGCGAGTCAGCGACTTCTGTCACTGAGCCATGGGCGACGGCAGCGAACCGCCACGACTGATACCTAACTGCGATAAAGCGCGGCTCATCCTCCACCGTTTTGCATGTTATAAATGTGCAGATGACAGGGCTGGCCCCCAGAGCAAAGACTTCCTTTGCAAGCTGCTACCAATCGAGGTGGCAAGTGAGCTGCTAAGGCGACTACTGCTTATTTGTAAGTAGTGGCGGATTCATTAGGTTTTTGTGTAGATTCGTCGCAATTCGACACAGGCAGACAGTCACCACACATCCAGGAAAGCGCTAGAAGGCCGTTTCGGCGGGTACGCACCACTGACGGGTCACAATAGAACAAAACGGCCGTCTATCGATTTTCTGGATTTGTGGTAGCTGTCTTCTTGTGTCCAGCTGCGACGAATCTACACCAAAAGTCAAAATGTACGTTACGCTTCCCTTCGTCATGTAATTACTGTTTAATTTTGAAATGTAAGCCGATATTTAGGCGGCTACAAATCGGTTGTACTGGCAATTATCTACATTTGCCCTAGCTGTCCATCACTGAAGCAGAGGAATTTTATGAGCAATTCACTTCAGCAGCCATCGACCACATTGTTTATTCTCTCTGCATTTCTGCCGGTGCTCTCAACAGGTTTAACTCTACTTTTCTCACTAGTCGCGGGTTATAAAATGTTGTAAACTTTCCCACTAGATTTGAAGCAACTCTAGATCCGCTATTTGTAAACATCGCTGTTGTTTTTGTGTGCAATCAGGCGCCGATTGGTAGCTCTGATCCATCAAACCTCAAGTTATCTCCTGTCTTCTACAGCAAAGAAAAATCCCATGGTGCTCACTGACTCTAAAGATCGTTAGCATAAAAGAAGACAATGTTTACCTCAGAACATATACCAACTACGAGAAATAATTGCATCTACAGACTTTAGTACATTCCTTGGCAGTGGTTAATCTACGTACCTTGACCAGTTAACAAGCTATCGCAACTTCTGTTTTGATATCTGCTGTCCACTGGAAATCATTTATATCCGTGTTGATCGGTTTTCGTCTCCGTATCTAAAACTCCTGCGTAGACTCAAAAAAGCGTTCCTACAGAAATACCGCTTTTCAGTGAAGTCTCTTTCTATTTCTATCAAATTAGAGTTGCGCCGTCTAAACCATCTATATGTCCAGACCATTCTCAGAAACAATAGCTGCGGAGAGGCTTGGCGGATGCCTTGAAGATTTGAACTGAAAAGCTTGTTGTTGCAATGCTAACTACACTTCTTACACTTCCTCCCCCCGAGCGGACGGTCCCAAAACTGCTCAATCTTCCATTAACAGGAATATGGTGCTCAAGTAACTGCTGAAGCTAAACTCCAGCAAAGCAAATGGCCTGGTCGGATTAGCTCCCCTTGTTCTCAAGGTGTGTACCCATTACCTTGCCCAGCCCCTTTCTGACCTGTACACGTTGTGCATATGGGAATGCAAAAGTGCCGACTGCTGGGGAAATGTTGGAATTGAACCGGTGCCAAAAAAGCTCCGATAAATACTGGACAATTGTTAGCACCTCAGTAAAGCTGAAGGTCTTTGAGCAGGTTATTCTTGAAAGGATGACTCAAACCCTTCCAGATGATCTGCTTTAATTTGCTTATAGTAGTCTGAGTTCTACTGAAAATGCACCAGTCTATATTGTACATTCAGTGCTGGCGTCACTGGATAATAAGACCAAATCCGTGCGAGTGTTTTCTGGACTAGAGCAATGTCCTCAGCAGTGTACACTGTGAGCAAGTTTTGAGAGTCTTATATGATAACGAAATACAATCTTGCAACATTCACCTGCTGAGGGACTATTTCTCTAGACGTGCCCAGTTTACTCGACTTGGGGGTAAAAGTTCCTCGCTACTCACCACAGCCACGGGGGTTCCTCAAGGAGCCATATTGCCTTCATAATATTTTCCTACTTTAGTCGCCCAATTACCCGCTCCTGACGAAGCGATATCACTGAAATATGCAGACGATGTGGTCTTAGGTATCCAGCGCCCGACATCAGCCTCATCTGTGCAGTTATAAACCCAT